GAGACGTTTTTGCAAGCCTCCTGACTCTTCTGCCACATACCTGCAGGAAGGAGGAGAATCCAGGAGTTGCTATTTTTATTAGCAACCTGCTGTTTCCTAAGAGATGAGCAGGAGAAGGCAGAATCTGGCCTGGCTAGAAGCTACTGAGGGTTCCTAGGGCAAAATAGGAGGCCATTGCTCTACCTGGGATGTGTACCATCCTGTCACATTGTCATTGATTCCTCCAGATTGTCAATGTATGGTACTCTGTGAATGGTGAGAGACTGGGCACCTACATGGGCCATACTGGAGCTGTGTGGTGTGTGGATGCTGACTGTATCCTTGTCTTTGCTCTGAGTCCATGCTCCCAGTACCTGCCAGCAATGGAAGGGCTGCTGGCTTGGAGTCAGGAATTCAGGGTACTATTGTGGGTCTAGAAAATAATACTACCTCCTACTCCCTGGACTGTTCACTGGTTGGGGGAACATTAGGACAAGTTCCAGTTCTGGATGAGGATGTTAGAATGCTCTGAGTTAAGAGAGTAAGAAAGGCCCCCTACAGCTTAACAGGAAGGTGATTCAGTTGGCCTTCCAGCAGGATAGGGCTCAAGTGAACGTGGTCATGTTTCTTAACATCCTCTTCAGGGGACACCAAGCATGTCCTCACCGGTTCAGCTGACAACAGCTGTCGTCTGTGGGACTGTGAAACAGGTAAGCCTGGGTCATTCACTTTTTCAGCAAACAATAAGGACCTACAATGTACTTGCTTAGGTGAACAGGTTCTGGGGAAATAGAGATAAATCTAGAGATGGTTCCTAGTTTAGAGAACAAGAGACAGACTAGAAAATAAGGAAGGCAGATAAGAAAAGGAACACTACAGAAAGATACCAGCTATGTTCAAGAAAGCTTGGAGCACTTTGGAAGGCCTGAGTGGGGTAGCTGGCTGCCTGCAGTGGGGATGGGAACAGCTAGGAAGGTTTCACAAGGTAAACGTCATATGAGCTGGGGCTTAGAGGATGAGAAGGAGGTCATCACTTTGGCATATATGCTGGAATGAAAGCATGGCAAGTATCACATCCAAATCATCTGATCTGGCAGGAGTTCCTACTTCTTGGGGGATGAAATAGACAGTGGAGAAGATGAGGTAGGCTAGAGCCGGCCAAACCCAGGCTTTGACAGCCAAACCCAGGAGCTTGGCTTTGTTCTGTGGGACTTGGCATGCTGCTGAGGTCCCTGAGCAGGGATGCGTGTGTTTTGTTTTAGCAACTTAGGTAGCAGTGGGGAACATTGGAAGAACAGAAGACAGGGGAGCCTGTCAAGCTGCTCCATTTGGTAGATATTTACTGGGCACTCAATTTATGCCAGGTCTATACTGGGCACTGCAATGCAGAGAAATTAGAGCTGGTTTTGCTATGGAGGAGATCATGCTGAGGAGGATACATACAGTGCAGTATACTGTGAGCAGTGCCATAGTGGCAGGATCTCTGAGGAGGGACAGTGGGGAAGTTAGAAGACTTGAGGCAAAGCCTAGCATTGAAGAAGAGGTGGTAGGTTGGAGTCACTAGAGCAAGAAAATCAGGTGTGACAATAGGCAGGTGTGGAGAGTGTCCTCCCCACAATGGCAGTGGGCAAGGGGTAGCCCGGACTCTGCCTGTCCCCAGGGAAGCAGCTGGCCCTACTCAAGACCAATTCAGCTGTCCGGACCTGTGGCTTTGACTTTGGGGGCAACATCATCATGTTCTCCACGGACAAGCAGATGGGCTACCAGTGCTTCGTGAGCTTCTTTGACCTGCGGGATCCGAGCCAGATCGGTAGGCTGGCATCAGGGCTTAGAACTGGGCTTGAGATAAAGCATATGGCTCCAGAGCCAAGGGCCTGACATGTGCTTCCCCACACAGACAACAACGAGCCCTACATGAAGATCCCTTGCAATGACTCCAAGATCACCAGTGCTGTTTGGGGACCCCTAGGGGAGTGTATCATTGCAGGCCATGAGGGTG